ATAGGAATTATTCATCTACTAAAAGTTTTAAATTATAAATAATTCGGTGTTGTTAGGTACTTCATTTACATTACGACGAAGACCTTTGATGTTCCGCAGCATCTAATTTAAGTTGAATCTTCAAACCCAGCTTCCCTTCTACTGATATGGAAAAGCTTATATGAAATAAACTCGTTCCAGCAAGCTATTCCGAAGAGAAGAAGAAGAAATGTACAGAAGGATCTATGCATTTATTAAATAACAGAATTGGAACATATTTCATATTATTTTGTAGATATATATATATGCTTTATAAAAATAACTATACTAAAATTATGAGCTTAATATTGTAAACGTATTTAAGTATTTTCGTTACTTATATGTAAATAAAACAATATTGTTTTTGACTTTGAATAACTATGAATGATTTTCCGAGAAGATTTTTTTTCATGTTATAATAATATGATTCATTCTACGGAGTTAAGACTCTGACTTAAAGACATTCATTCGTATATTTATTTTCTCAGAATTAATGCACTTTAAAGTACATTTACAACAATGTTACTAAGAGGCGCTTGTAACCTTGTTTGTACAGGTGACTACAACTCAGCATTTCGTAATTAAATACGTCATCGGCCTCAGCAGGCGTATCGAAATTAGTCTTAAAAATATCGTTAACTGTAAAGTTTTTATACTTATTAATAAAAACCATCCTACATTGCAAAATAAGTGAAAGTGAAACATAAAGCACCGTTTTTTATCTGCCTAATGTTTGATGTACATATAACGACAACGCTGTAACTTTATCTACATAATTACGTCACTTCTTGTTAAATTACTTAACTAATGTTACGAGTACATACAGATGAACCCACAAAATATAGCTTTACGGAGATGGAAGTGAAAGTAAGCCAAATTAAACTAGAATTAACCGATTAACTTCAATTGCATTTAAGACGATTACAATAAACTTCTTCTAATGTAACCCGATTAGATTGTTACGGTTTCAGATGCATTTCCTTTATAAAAAATAACTACGGGAGAAATAGAGCAAATACACGGGCGTTGTAAAACGAGCAGCTTTGAATTCAGGTCGGGCACGTCGCCACACGGCTATTGCCGTTTGAGACGAGCGATAAGGCATGCCAGGAAGCGGGTCCGAATGTTCAATTGCAAATACTACCTAACAACATATGCAAATAAAACACACGTACGATCGTCTACATAGGCATTCACGTAGAAGTGCAGTCTTCGGAGGAAGTGAATGTCCTCGGTACGTTCTCAGTAGAAACCGTGCCATCAATGTCAATCGTTAATAGACACCTTACGAACAAATTACATAAATTAGATCAAATATTCTCGGTTAGGAAGGACTACAAAACTTAAAGAACAGCAAACAAATAATGTTGGATATAAATCATTTGAAATGGGATTTACCAATGGTAATCAAAGGCAATTGAATTGAGCTATCAAAATAAATCATGTGCAAATACCTATTTATTTTTCAGCTTTTTACACATTGTAGACAGTAAGGATTTTAATGGTCCTGTATTCGTTACTTCTCATACAGAGATAAGATGTCTTTAAGTCCTGGTTTAGTTATAACTATTGTCGATATTAGTAGAGACATCCAAATGTACGATAAAGCGGAAATCCCGATTCCATCTGCAAGGACTCTACTTAAAATTACCTAATAAAAGTCACAATTAAAGTTATCTTTTGTTTTATTTCTGGCTCTGGTCTTTCAAAGGTCTGGTTTTTCAAAGAATATGTTATGGAAGTTGTCAGATGAATCGTAAAGCAGAAAACGATTGTTTTTTTACAGTTGGCAATAAGCTTTGGACATTGCACCGTTCATCAGCATTCGAAATTTAAGTCCACAATTTTTGATTTGACAATGTGTTGTTTGACCCACTTTCATTTTTTAAAGAACATATGGTTAAACTTATAACTTTTTAAAATATGGTATTGTTTAATATACGGAATAATGTAAGTAAAAAAAATTCAATGTTGAAAAGAGTGATTGATTTGAATCGCCAGAAGTAGTTTCAATGTTAAAATTAACTCTAGTTACCTATTCAGCAACGGAGCATTGACCTACTGGTACTTAACCCAATTATCGGATGATAAAAATTATATTAAATAGTATCTACGTAAGCGGATCTGCACATTATTAGTTAGGTTACACTAATTGGGCCAAATATATTTTAGTCTATTTACGCATTAGAGTGTGACAGAATGTGACATTCACTTATTTCACAGAATGATGTTCACACACAGCACTATACAACTGAAATTCGACAAAACAAACTAATTTCAAAAAAAGAATAGGAAAAAACTTGCACGACTCATGGAAAAAGTCAAAGAAGAAAGTTGATCTTGTGGTCACCATAGGGCATTGGTCTAGCTGAATGTAGGCAAAGACTATCATACAAAGATCCGTTATTAACTGTTGTAGGTACCCATTATTGTATTTTTTTTACTACTTAGAAATACGAAAAACAGCATAAAGTTGGGTCTTGATAACAGTAGCATTGAACCGTTAACAAAAAGAATATCGCAACATGTTATTGATCTAATTTTGTTTTGTACTTATTGCAAAATAAAAGTATCCCACCAAATTTTTTTTATATAAAATGTTGCCATATGGCTTGCACAGTCAAAAAGTTATCAGATTTAATGTAGAGCCAATCTTCTAACTCTACAAGCCCTATCTTCACAAACTCTACACCTCAGTCAAAATATGTGACTATGATGCATATCATAGTCACATCTTATGGGAAATAACGCGACTGTTAAATTTTGTAACTATAAGGTGTGATTGTAAGAATTACCTAAAGCATCTAGATTAACGGAATGATGCGAATAGATCAAGTTTAAAAGTTCCATTTGAAAATGATATAATGAATCCAAAACTTGGAAAAATATTTAAGCGGTTGTTCAGGTTGGATAATATTACCCTTTAAACTACAAACCGGCATAGCACTAGAGTGGATGGCCGTCACAAATCGCAAATTAATAACAAACGCCGCCCAGTAAGAACATTATGAAATCTTACACAGTGAACAATACACTCCAAAATGGACCTTATGTGTCACAATTACTCTCATGAAAATGTTCATTTATGAGTACACGCCGGTGTCCGAGGTTTTTGACCCAAAAATATTTGTTTTGTATTTCGAACTAAAAAAACACAAAAATACGACTGCTCTGTATAAAATCAAATTGAATATTTTTTTACGTTGCAAAAAGGTATCAGATAGCCGTCATAATATATGTAAAAGCTATAAAAAAATTTATAGCCAGTTGCATTCGGAATCGTGTAAGTATTCTTATAATATATCCACTGCTCTTCTGGTATCAAAGTAATGGCGGAATAAAGTTACATACATACATATACATGAACCTATTTTTTAGGCAGTCGTGCAAGAAAACTTCTCTCATAAATTGTGTAACGACAGCAAATTTCAAATATTAATCACTCTATTCTTTATTGAGTTCTAAGTCTAAGACCATTGTTTTAGGTTGTCTATAGACGTCATGTATCCCACCTATTTAAATAAGGACGTCCGTTTCCTTTCCTTGGAAAGTTCTTTGCAAAATTTGTTTGTCAAAGAATTGCAGACGATTTACAAGCGGAAGAACTGTTCCTGGCGCTTGTGGTCAACTTATATATAAAAGTATACGACCTGACAGGAGTTTTATAGCCTAGTTGATTTACACGTATGCCATTAAGTGTCAATAAATTTAGTGAATTAAGATTTATTGGCTGAGGACTGGTTGAAATTCAATAAGAACGAAAGTTTTTGAGGATCCTTTCATCAAAAGTTTGTCTGTGTTTTTTCCTGTCTGTCAATACTTTTTTTCCCTTGGAACGCAGTGTTTTTAGGATTCAAGTTGAAATTGACATCAGTCCCTTATGTTTGCGGTCTATAAAGTTGGAAATTATAACCCTATATGTTAACCAATTTTAAAATGACGTAGATAAATCAAAACCTAGGTACTGTACTACCCTTAGACCTAGAACCGTGAACTTAAATGAGCAAAAAGCCAAAAATTACTGTGATAAATTGATGTTATATTGCATACCATGTTTGTACGGAATACTATTTGTTCAAGTTCGACTTACATTTGTTATTTTTTAAACCATCCATCCACCAGTCATTTTATAAAGGTATTTAAAGTAAATGAGAGTAATTTCTTTGTAAGCAATTGTTCGCTTTGTACTCTGCATTTATAAAAAAATGTTTGTTAGATGAACACTTTTCAATACACTACTTAGTAATTTAACATGATTACGAAATATGCACAAATGGTCTAATTGCTATTTATTAACGACTAGCATCAATTTTATTTTTAACACCTGTTTTAAAGCTATTGATGTACAGTAGGAACGTATTTTCCTTACACAAACACTTTAAATTTGGCACTCAGTTGACGGTTTAACAGACCTTGCCCTTTTTTAAAGGTAACATGAATTTAAATGTCTTTTTAGTTCAAACACAACGGCCTTGCAAGACTTTAAGACGAATTTATCAGTTGGTTTAAAAACTAGCATGGACACTAGGACAATCGGTGAAGTTGTACATTTCCTAACAGCCAATCAGTGCGAAGCCTCGCATGCTTTAGAACACGAAGGTTGCAATTAGAATGACAAGGATAGAATTAAAGATGACTTCATCAATAAAAGTAATAAAACGTAGCGTCCAGACGAAGCCTCTAAGGTTTTATGGGCGCCACTTACTCATGACCCAATATATTTTCTAATATAGAAATTCCTTTGTAACGTCATATGAAATTTATCTAACACAATAAATTATTGCAATATGCAGTGTCAAGGTCAAACATCCTTTAAGTGTTTCCAATGTGAAGTGTATAATATGACGTCAAATTTACCTTTCTCTAAATTTTTAGCATAACATCAATTTCAACAATGTGCAAATATAAAAGGATTATTTTTTACTTAAAATGTTTTCTACGTTAACTTAAGAAATTTTTAAGTGCTAATAAATAAGACTTACCTAAGAAGAAGGTTAAGAGAGCTATCATTTCTAGTCGTTGGTACATCCTTGACACTTGAAGGTTCACTCCGAATACCACGCAACGAGAGCCTCAGCTGTTTTGGAATCGAACTGAGAAGGCCGTGACTGCTGTTTCTACGTTGATTCAAACTCTTGGACCGTGTCAACTTACTCCCCTCCAAATCTACAGCCTGGGGATGAGCGGACACCTCCTCTATCGTTGTACTCGACACATCAGTCTTTATTATCGTAGGAACAGCAGTTTTCACCTCCCCCAACAACTTCTCCCACGGCGACGCGAGATCCTCCTCCGAAATTGTCTCGAAACTCCTCGGACCGACCGAAGACGAAGTCTTGTCTGACATATTGAACACTAATAGGCAAAGGAAAGCAGCGGAACGTAGCACGTAGCACGACAGACACCTACAGGGCACTTCGTCACTTTGGATTTTTAGTTTCTTGACAGCACTTCACTCTTATCATAATATCCATTTGTAAATCATAATGTTTGGGGTAGAAATGTTGACACTGAAACAAGAAGAAAACCATTGCTATAATTAATACGAACAATATAAATATTCGTTAGTCCAAGTCGTATATCTTGTACTAAGACATGAAATACATGCGCATAACTATACATCAACATAAATGTTATGCCTGTGTTCTATTCAAAAGCAAGTAACGAACTTTACTTTCATAAAATTTCTACTCTCACTTTCACTGAAATTTTGTTTAACGTATTGTGTGCAATAAATTGTTCATGTGATGACTATTGACTACACCGGTTTTCTTAAAATCATATGATTCAAAATATAACATAAGACGAGTTAACTGACTGCGACTGATGTCAAGAAATGTGCAAAACTTTGAGATGATGCCTTTCTAAATGTTTTCTTCAACATTTTGTATTATTGTTTGAAGAGAAAGGTGAAGTTTCTCCATAGCAAGAGAAATGCAAACGTATGAAACTAGTCTTAATCTTAATTACTGGGTACATAGTATATGAGGCTGTCTAACTGTCAATTAAATAAATGTTAAATGTCCGTATACTTGCTTGCTAATTTGCCAGAAACTTTATATGAACACAAAGTAACGGCATATATAATTAACAAGCACTTTATACACATCAGAATATATATAAGAATCGAATACTCGTTTAATACACGTCATAGTAGTTAATGCGTAATAATAGGTAGATATGTAGATTCGCAATGAATATTACCGCATCCAAAAAATGCTCTACCGCCACAAATTATACTGGAAGTTTTTTTAGATACTTACTTTGAAGCGGATAGGTAAATATCTATTTTTTTTTTGTATTACAATATATCAAACAAGATGGTTTTCAGATTTGTAGGTTTATATTTGTCTTTATCTAAATGTAGAATCTTAGTATTAGTAGTAACGAACAATTTTCGCGGAAGTCCAGCATGGCCCCAATGAATGTTTTCGTTTGTAATACGAAGAGAAAGTTGACTATCACATGTATGTAATTATAGTTATGGATCTAAGATTAAACTAAAATGCTTAAGTACCATCTGTAAATAATTTGTGTGTTTGAGATAATAATATGACAAAATATTAAACTTACTATTGTGCAAATGGCATCCCAAGAAAGAAACGATAACAAACTATATTATAATATATATAAATATGCATGTATATTCACGTAAACACAATGTATAAAATTTGTTGTACAATGTGATTTTTTAATCTTTTTCGAAAATTGTACGTAATAAATGGTCATGGTTAAAAGGTTAAAAAGTTTATAGAGTAGGGAAACTATATTAAGATTTTTTTTCAATGAAAGAAAAATTATTATTTTTGAAATTATTATAGCAATAAAAAGTAATCTCACAATGTATCGTAAAAAATGTTCCTTTATAATTTAGAAGAAGACAAAAAGAAAGAACAGCGGACTAGATTAGTTGCCAAACTGCACGTGCTGTACTAGTATTCTAATCTAAGAATAAAAATATTTTACTTCTAAGAAACCATCGACTATCATCGACAACTATTCTTGTTAAAGAGAGTTATTTCTGTTGATTCTACTATACTACAATATTTGTGCTCTACTCAAACAACCGAGTTGTATTTTCCAGTAGCGTCTGAAATATTTTATATAGGGCGCGACGAAAATCTAAAATTAGGACAGTTGTATATACGTTAGACCGAATACTAAGAATATTATTCAAAATAAGAGTAACTCTACACGTGTTTCGTGTACTTCACAAATTGTATTTTAAAACGAAACGTCTGCCAAATGTCCCGCACTGTTCAAATCTGGGTCAATGCTCCAGTGCACTGCTTCTACCACATTGAATCATGGGCCGATAACAACGGAACGGTTACCGGCATTCAACGTCATAATATTTGTGAAATAAAAATAATATCTTCCATCATTGTAAGTAAACCTTTTATATTTAATATAGTTCAAATGAATATTGAACTCGTTATTCAGAACTACACATACATATGTACTTAAGTACACTAGAATTATATAGAAACGGTCAACGGTAGTTGAATAGTTGTGTCTATTGTCTGTTTAGCGTATGTCAAGTTGCACGTTCGAACATTTGAAAATAACGTCTGTGAGTATTTTTCTTCTTCCTCCGGTTCTTGTTTATTCGGAAAATGTTTTTTTATTACATAAAAGTTATATCAAATGAACGCATAAATCCATTTATCGGGGTGCTTTTATCTACTTTTGCAAAACAACTTACGCAGGTTGGCACGCATGGTTTTGAAGGATTACAGTATCATCATCAGTTCCTGTATTTCCTTTATATTTCTGACAAACACTGAACCCATACAGTATATTAATACAAATGTTTTCAACAGAAGTTTGTAGTTGAGATAGTATCATAAATAACCACTATTTGTTATTTGTTTTTCCAGAGTCCACACGGGTGAAGCATCTTTTAGATAGAATAAGATAGTAAAGTAGAGTAGTCTAAACTTATAAATTAGTTTCAGACACAAAAATAGTGATAATATACGAAAGGGCTAATAAAAGTAACGAACAATACGAACACCGTGTTAAATTAAAAAATAATTTATGACGTGCCTTGGGACCCTCGATAGATTAGTTAAGTGAAATAAGGTTAGATTTTTTTGTGTTATTTTAATAGGTTCACTTGTATTGAAGGGTACAAGAGAAGAGGCAGACCGAAGAAAAGGTGGATGGACTGCGTGAGGGAGGATATGGCTAGGAAGGGCGTAAACAGTGAGATGACGCATGGACAGAGTAGAATGGAAAAATCATACATACTGCGCCGACCCCAAATAAAATTGGGATAAGGGTAGGCAGATGATGATGACTTGTATTGTAAATAAAAATAGTTTTAGTTCAAGGCATTTCAGTTCTATTGAAATTTAAACGACATCTTGTTGTACCAATAATTAATCATTGAACGCTTTATTGTACGTCGTACGTCTTAGATGAACGACCATTTGAAGGTTTATTTTGCATGTTCAATTGTTTTATTATGGTATAATTAACATGCTTTGTGAAGGTTATGTTTGATACCAATGTCATCTTACTTGCTATTTCCGAACAACAAGATAAATGTTGGTCAAAAGAGGATTAATAAATGTATGGCGAAATTTGTCCAAAAAACTAAAAGTATCTAATACATTTTCAAAACAATGATTGCCAAAGATTTACTGTGGGCGTTCTGTAGTGTATTTATGTAAATCAGTACGACGAGGATAACTTAAACAAAAGAACCTCTTTACTCAACCACAATGCTACTGTATTTTTTTTTGAATACTGACTGCCGTATGATAACATCGCAGATTTCCGAGAAATCTAATAACAATAAATCTTTAATGAAAATGACTACTCATTCAATTAATTTTCCCCGTTAAATCTAAGGTTAGTTACTATTTTACGTGTAACTGTATATTTAAAATAAGAATCATGGATCATGGAATGAAATCAATGGAAATTAATTTATCGTTTAGATAGTAATTTATTTGGTAACAGTCATGTAACAGTTACTTAGTTACATAACTGTAGAAATAATTTTTCCTTTCTACAGTTACTACAGCTTACAGTGAACCTACAGCTATACTTTTAGAAAACAGTTGGTGTATAAATTATTTGAATTCTACTCCTGCCTCCTCTCACTCTTCTTGATCAGAAAACTAATTAAATATTTATTGCATGAAATGTTTATATTATTAGTTGTTTGACGCGTAACTAAACCAGCATAAACTTTTCCCACATTCTACTATGTTCTACGGAATTTTCTTTTGAAATGATGATTGTAATAAACCCTATAGATATCGCAACGAACTTTAACTTCCTATATATTCAAGTGAATATCATTATAGCGAAATTGAGCGTATGCTTACTTTAAGTAGGCGTTCATGTCTTAACCACTAAACTGATGACCATAAAATTTTGTACAATCGTTGCCATTCACACAAAAAGTCCTTTGTGTGAATGGCAACGATTGTACAAATTTTTTTTCAATTGTTTAAATTGTGTCATGAATGGATTAAATTTAACTCTAATCTAGTTAATGTCATGAAATACAGTGTGAGAATCTCTAACACGATACCAACCAGTCGTGACACTAAGGTGTTTTGTAATAATAATTCAATGTTACACGTGGCAAGTGTAGACACGCACTGTGCATTAGGATGCAATTATCATCTTTTATAATTATATATTTGATTACACATCCAGATTTTTCAATATAAATATTAAACACATTGATGGCCACGAAGTCGTGAAGTATAAAAAATAGAGAAATTATAATTAACGATATTAACTCCTTTTATATTTATTGTAATTGTCAACTGTAGAATAGATGCTGATAGAACAGATGCTGAATGAATCCCAAATAGTGTATCTAGAGAACTAGAATAAGGATATTCACGAATTTCAATGACACAAAAACAAACGCTGTTAAGTCGTAAAGTCTACGGGACTAAACCATTTAAATTTTGCTATTTCTAGTAATTAAGACACCAAGCTAGATCGGCCTTAAATATTTGATATATTTCATGTTATAAAAAATTTATACCAATTGTTCTGGTACCAAAAGACATTAATGCCAATGAATATGCTTAGTAGTGAATACACTACTACTGCACAATTACTCTTATAATATGCAAGCGTGGCCACCCAAAGCAAACCTGGCGACGCACTGTCGCAGATGAGGTGAAGAAAATCGGCAAGACGTGGAGTGAGGTCAAGTGCGAAGCTTAAGACCGTACGCGATGGAGGATTACTCCGCATGGACGCCCTCTGACCCATCACGGGGACATAAGACATTAAGTCAATAGTTATTATTAATTCTTTGGATTAAACTGGTTCCACTCCCTAATGAGTTATTATTTCAACTTTTTGGAA